GTGGCATTTTATTTTCTACGGCGCTCTGTAGTACTTGTCGCGTTCAAGATCGAAAATAGTTCATTTTAATTTTTAGACTGACCCGAGTCGAGAGACAAAACTACCAAGCCTCCTAGTACGTATATATAATCAACTGCAACGTTGCCAAACCAAAAGCGCGCAGCGAATAGCTTAAGGCGCCCAGTTGACATGTAACATTAAACATCTTATACACAGCGAAATGTATATTAGCAGCGCACCAAGCGGCGAACGCCTGAACTAATATTTTATACAGGATCAAAAAACGGCTCAAATGGGCGTCCTCGAGATTTTTGTGTTAATGGGTGTTTTAGGGTGTCTACATCATCTGGAACAATTTTCAATGGGTTGTCACTGGGGATCCGTATATCGGAAGCCCAGTAACAGCGGAGTCTCAGTGAACCTGAAATTTAACATGGGGGGAGGCTCAGTAATACTTTGTAGATATATATATATATATATATATATATATATATATATATATATATATATATATATATATATATATATAAAATCAAACTAATTTATTGGGGGCAGCAGCAATATGTAATAAAGAAAACTCTTTAAAGATGATCCAAGCTTTCGGAAATTTAATTACTTATTTCCATCTTCAGGGAATCTATAAAAGGTGTGGTGTGTCTTCATAAGAACTTAATATTATTAAGAGAGTGAGTTACTTACATCTTTGTGAGGATGAATTACTAATAATGTTAAATATTTTAAAATTTACGATTGTGATGCACAATTATATACATAAACAACTAATGACATAAATTTTGACATAACAGTTAAATTTCAAACGACATAATTCTATGTAACTGAATTTTAAACACAATAATTTAAACTTATATTGTAAAACTGTGTAATAGAAGTTCTATATGTGCATCACAATCGTAAATTTTAAAATATTTAACATTATTAGTAATTCATCCTCACAAAGATGTAAGTAACTCACTCTCTTAATAATATTAAGTTCTTATGAAGACACACCACACCTTTTATAGATTCCCTGAAGATGGAAATAAGTAATTAAATTTCCGAAAGCTTGGATCATCTTTAAAGAGTTTTCTTTATTACATATTGCTGCTGCCCCCAATAAATTAGTTTGATTTTACGATACTATTCAGCAAAGACTACCCTTCCACTCTATATATATATATATATATATATATATATATATATATATATATATATATATATATATATATATATATATATAGTGGAAGGGTAGTCTTTGCTGAATAGTATTGTAAAATTCAAACTAATTTATTGGGGGCAGCAGCAATATATAATAAAGAAAACTCTTTAAAGATGATCCAAGCTTTCGGAAATTTTAATAACTTATTTCCATCTTCAGGGAATCTACAAAAGGTGTGGTGTGTCTTCATAGGAACATAATATTATTAAGAGAGTGAGTTACTTACATCTTTGTGAGGATGAATTATTAATGATGTTAAATGTTATGATTTTGATGCACATATAGAATTAAAATTAAAATTACACAGTTTTACAATATAACTTAAAATTATTGTGGTTTAAATTCAGTTTGAAATTTAACTGTTATGTCAATTTTTGTGTCATTCGTTGTTTATGTATACAAGTGTGTTAGATTAAATATAGAAATTACTAATAAGGAACCTAGTTAGGAAGATTACTTTGTACCTAAATTGGGATAATATTCATCAGTATTCTTCTGTTGAAAAAATAGAGTGGAGATTTAACCCGCCAGCTGCTGCATGGTGGGGTGGGTTTTGGGAAAGACTGATGAGGATTTTAAAACAAATTTTAAGGAAAGTTTTAGGTAAATCTAGTTTAAATTATGAAGAGATATCAACTGTTATTTGCGATTGTGAAGCTATTATGAATTCTAGACCGTTAACTTATACTTACAGCAGCAATAAAGATTTGTTACCATTAACACCTGCAATGTTCATTCAAGATATTGCAGAGAATCAAGTTCCTGATTTAGATAAAGCTGAATCAGTTTCTCTGCAAAAACATTTAAAACGTAAGCAACATTTAGTTGAGTGTATTAGGAAAAGATTTAGGAATGAATACTTAGGGCAATTAGTATTTTCTAATAAAAAGTTAGGGACAAGATCAATAACCAAAGGTGAAGTTGTTTTAATTGAAAGTGAAAAATCTAAAAAGATAGATTGGCCTTTGGGTATTATTCAAGAGGTTGTTATTGGAAAGGATGGAAAAGTACGTATGGTAACAGTGAAGACATCGAAAGGAATTCTTAGTAGACCTGTTCAGAGACTCTATCCATTAGAAGTTTTTGCCGATGACGAATCTGAATACTTGAAAGAAGTATATGACATTTTGGATAATAACACCGATTTACCGAAACAAGGAAATGAAGAATTGTCGGATGATGAGTTGTCAGCGGCACCCACTCCGAGAAAACCCGTGAAGACTACTAGGTGTGGGCGCGAAATTAAAAAGGTCGACAGATATGGCTATTGAGTCTTCTTTACCAAGATCAAGACTCATGGTGGGAGAATGTTAAAACTGAATCATATTTTTATTTTGTAACATTCAGTATATGTTTTTGTTAACTTGATCCTTTTGATTATATTTGTCAATATGATATATGTTTTAGAAGTATCTTTTCAATAAAAAGTCAAATCGATTTTTTAATATCTGGTTTTTTTTATAAGTTTTACTGTTTCTGGTTCTATTCCATATTTGGATCATTATTGAAAATATATTTGAACGGTTAGTTCATTTTGTATTTTACATTTTTGGAGTTGTATGTGTTTCTTTCCAAAATATTTGCGATGAAACGGAGGCGATTCTTAAGAGCAAGGAACCTGACCAGAAGGTGTTAAAATGCAATGTTGAAATATTAGAAAAAAAGGTGTCTTCATTGGTTGATCTCCATGATCAGTTAATCGGTTATATGTTGGATGAAGCTTGTGATGAGAGAGTTATTCTACAAGAAGTAGAGATCATGGATGATGTTAATCGCAAGTATAAGTCTATTAAAATTTCTGTAGATCAGCTATTTAATTCAGATGCGATAGAGTCAGTTAAGAGTAACAAAACAAGTTTAAAGTTGCCAAAGATAGAATTTGTTAAATTTTGCGGCGATATTAAGAATTGGTTAACATTTTGGTCACAATTTAAACGTATTGTTTCGGTAAATCGGTGTTATTATCCAAAATGTCATATACTTCTTTCAAGTATTCAGATTCGTCATCGGCAAAAACTTCTAATGGATAGAGTCTCTGAACAGGTCTACTAAGAATTCCTTTCGATGTCTTCACTGTTACCATACGTACTTTTCCATCCTTTCCAATAACAACCTCTTGAATAATACCCAAAGGCCAATCTATCTTTTTAGATTTTTCACTTTCAATTAAAACAACTTCACCTTTGGTTATTGATCTTGTCCCTAACTTTTTATTAGAAAATACTAATTGCCCTAAGTATTCATTCCTAAATCTTTTCCTAATACACTCAACTAAATGTTGCTTACGTTTTAAATGTTTTTGCAGAGAAACTGATTCAGCTTTATCTAAATCAGGAACTTGATTCTCTGCAATATCTTGAATGAACATTGCAGGTGTTAATGGTAACAAATCTTTATTGCTGCTGTAAGTATAAGTTAACGGTCTAGAATTCATAATAGCTTCACAATCGCAAATAACAGTTGATATCTCTTCATAATTTAAACTAGATTTACCTAAAACTTTCCTTAAAATTTGTTTTAAAATCCTCATCAGTCTTTCCCAAAACCCACCCCACCATGCAGCAGCTGGCGGGTTAAATCTCCACTCTATTTTTTCAACAGAAGAATACTGATGAATATTATCCCAATCTAAAGAACTTAAAATATTTTCACATCCTACAAAATTAGGTAACAGAATAATCTCTCACAGAAGTGACGCACGGTTACACCCTGAAAGGTGCTCTTTAGCTGAACATGTTAACAGTTTAGACCACAGAATGGACTATGATGCATCTAAGATTCTTGACACAGAATCCAATTATACCAAAAGACTCTTCTTAGAAATGGCTTGGATATACCAAAATCAAAATTGTATTAATAAAAGGACGGACATAAAACATCTAAGTGCTATTTACTCATACTTACTCAACACCAATACAACCCTTCATCACAATAATAGTGACAGTATTATTGCAGATGAAATGTAATTTTTTAAATGACCACCTTTTATGATACAAGTCTGATTAAAAAACTTTTAATATTCAACCTTTCATCATAACAATGGTGACAGTATTGTTTTTGATGAAATAATTTACAACATCCTTTCATTCATCACAACAATTAGTGACAGTTTTGTTGATAATGAAATAATTAATCAAACTGCATTCTCAGATAAAACTTTATTAAATAATAATTTAGGTACAAAGTAATCTTCCTAACTAGGTTCCTTATTAGTAATTTCTATATTTAATCTAACACACTTGTATACATAAACAACGAATGACACAAAAATTGACATAACAGTTAAATTTCAAACTGAATTTAAACCACAATAATTTTAAGTTATATTGTAAAACTGTGTAATTTTAATTTTAATTCTATATGTGCATCAAAATCATAACATTTAACATCATTAATAATTCATCCTCACAAAGATGTAAGTAACTCACTCTCTTAATAATATTATGTTCCTATGAAGACACACCACACCTTTTGTAGATTCCCTGAAGATGGAAATAAGTTATTAAAATTTCCGAAAGCTTGGATCATCTTTAAAGAGTTTTCTTTATTATATATTGCTGCTGCCCCCAATAAATTAGTTTGAATTTTATATATATATATATATATTATATATATATATATATATATATATATATATATATATATATATATATATATATATTATATATATATATATATTTCCGTCGGGTGCAAATATGTGTAAATTCCCGGCATTAGACACTCGCGAACAGGCTACATATAGTTGACCAGAAAAGCATGGCTTTTCTAAATGCACTCCTGCTACCTGTAATGTCTGCCCTTGTGCTTTGTTTATTGTAACAGCAAAGCTAAGCTTAACGGGAAACTGAACCCTTTTGAATTGGAATGGAAGGTCAGTGGGATTAATTGGAATCCGAGGTATGATAACACTTTTTCCTTTACCGACACCTGTTAAAATAGTAGCACCAAGTATATTCTGCCCCAATTGCGTTATCCGAAGCCTTGTTCCATTACATAGCAGAGGAGCATTTAGATTTCGCATAAGCATAACTGGTACATTTAGCTCCACAGCATATGAAGTACTTAGTTCCGTATCCATAATCGTAACCATTGACAAAAATTCCTTCATTTCTCCTTGCACCTCTTTTAAATTGTCGGTGTTAATCCTATTAACTACTTCATTTTTTGGTGCTAATATTGCTCTTGCGCACAACCACTGATCACAACTCAAATTTTGTTGCAATTCCGGAAAAAACATGAGCAATGAGATCCACATCATTTTCTACTAAATTACAAACCAAAGAAAATAACAATAAATTATTGATTCATGCACCTACAGAATAATAAATATATATTATTCTAGACCTCTTAAAATTATATTCCGAAATATAATGATATAACAAAATTTATAATTCGTCATTGAAGAAGTGATAACTCGAATCTAAATAGAGATTATTTACCACATATGAGGTATCACTCCTTCAACGATGATATTTAGCTGCAGTTAACTAGCACTCGTGTATTGCAATGTAAGAACCTAATTAGACCTACAGTTATATTTTACTAAAATATGTAAAAGTTCGCTTCAATTCCAAATTTGTCTTCATATTGCACTAATTTTCCTATCAACATGCAAAGTATTTGTTATAATTATACAGGATGGTCCAAATTTGACATGTTTATAAGATATCACTAAATTAGCAGGGGATAATAAATTCGCAGGGGATAAAGTAAATTTGAGGTCGCATTTTAAATCCCGTTATAAATTCTTCCCCTGATTAAAATGCAATACTAATTTTTAAAATATCATTATTTTGTTTGGGCGTTCAAAAAAATAATCAGATATTTAAGATGCTTTTTTTGATGCAGTAGGTTCTGGATATTCTTGCAGAAGGGTTTTTAGGTTATACACCTTCGAACTTATAGTAGGTAGGCTCATTTTTAATTTTTTTCCGAAGGGGACAATGTCAGAAATTGCTGCTGCATCTTGAAGTGTATTTTTATTAAATAGAGACTAAAATTACCTCTAGTAGAAGGTTATTTTCTTTGCCAGTCAGCTTTTTTAATGTTTTCTATTTTTCTTTTTTTTTTAGCTGAATCATTGAGCTGGCTCTTGTGTGGTGAATAACAAAAACTTTGGAAACATTTGCGTAGTGCTACCCAAAGGTTTATCCATCATTTAAAAAATGAACAGTTTTCAAAATCATCTGGTATCTAAAGTCTAATAAATTACAATACATTTTCAGCGTTTTCGTGGCTCACCATCATTTTCTTCTTTTCACATTTCTAGAAACACTAATAAATATTTTTAATAATGAATGTGAATCACTAGTGAATTATTATCACATCTTGGGAGTAAACACTTTTTTGGTACTCATAATATTTATAAAAACTTACCAAATTAAACAGAAACATTTTCAAATTCCAAATACAAATTCTTGATTGACAGTATTGACAGATGACACATACACTGCTGTCGCATTGCCATTTTCTTGTTTATGAGGTGACGTTTTTTAAGACAATGAAACTATAAATATGGTGAAAATTTAAACATAAATAATACTTTTAGAAACATTTGATATTATATATTTAAAAGATATCTGTTTAACGATATTTTAGAGGTTTAAAAGTAAGAAGCTGGACACAAACGAACGTATATTATTTCTCGAATAGCGTCTAACCGGTAACGTTGTTGAGCCAGTTCCTATTGGTCTATTCCCAGGTACGTCATAAATTTTAAAAAATTAATAACACTGGTAATGGAGTGATAAAATAAAATTTAAAAGTTGCTTTATTTTTAATTATATTATTCATAAAAAAAATTCCAAAATTTTCGAACATGTCTCATTGTGAATTCGTTTATAAAAGTGATGGAACGACAGTTTGCCAGATTTCGTCTGTCTCTCATTTTATGTAATGACATCGACAATTGAGTCGTTCTTGCTTGAAATCCTACTACTTTTTAACATTTCTACGATGAAACTATCGTTGCCAGGAGCGATTTCTGTATAAATATCCTGGCAATGAATCAACGTTTGCATATTCACTCTAAATTCGCTTTTTCTTTCATTACCAAAAGCTGCAAAAGGAACACCATCCGGCAAATTGATTGAATAATCGTCGCATTCATCTTACTTTCCTACACGCCGGCATAAAATCTCGTTTCGGCTTTCTAAGAATATGGCGTCAACGCTGTCACGTTGCCGACACAAAGCTCCGCAGGCTGACCTGGATAACAATACAGTTTTCTGTTAAACTTAGGTCGTTAGCTGATAATAGTTTTCTTAACTGGCTCCCAATATGTAGGTACCTACAACAAAGTTCCAGTCCGCGCGCGTCTCAAGCTCGTTTAAACCACAAACATATACGGCATCTTGAAAGTTCTGGCTTAAAACTTTCACAACTATGCAAAGCTGTTTGATTTGTGTATAGTTTATGGTGCTTCGGCTCGGCTCGGCACATAATTCTGTCGCAAATTACCCCACCCCCACGACACATTGTAATTTACGGTTTGTTTTGGTTGCGAACGGTTCCCTGGAAATAATTCAGCGATGGTGTCACCAGGACGTCGGGATGATACGAAGGTAATCAGAAAAACAGAAACAAGAACGCTTTATCTTTATGTACATAAGAAATTTTGTGTTGAATAATTCATTATGTCTCTGAATCCGAAACTCGTCGAAATTAGGATGTAAATGTTTTTATTAATTTTCAGTGTAAGGGCGGCGAGTAGGGAAAGAGGTAACTCTAGTTATGTGAAGAGAGAGTAGGATATAAGTAGGTACCTAGTAATTAGCTAATTAAATATATTACTGATATTCTAACAACATAACGATCTACATAAAATCAAAACCTAATAGGCTACCACAAATCGGGTCTATTCTGAAAGTGTTTGAACATAATTAGTTAAAAATGAAACGGAAAATACATTCTACTTTATTGATTTGTAAGAGTTGCAATCTAGTCTACGAAACAAAACTGTGTTTTTCCTTGTTTTGTAGCTAAAGCAGCGATTGTTCTTGCCACAGCGTATACAATGCTTATCGATACCTAATTCTTGATAGTTAATTTTTGATCTTGATTTGGAACGTTTCCTGCCATGAGACTTTGACGTAGATATTAATCTGTTTGTTGATGAATGGTTGATTTTGTTGATGTTTGATTAGGTACAGCTGGACGAAATTTCTTTGCTGTCTATATCTAAAGCTTTTTCTAGTAATTTTTCAGTCGATTAAAGTAGTTGTTCACGCATTGATGCTTTATTAATGCCTCTAATGACTTGAGCTCGTAGAAAAATGTCTGCGATATTTGATTTACACTCACATGATGAAATAAATTCGCCATCGAGGGTTATACGTTTTAGTATAGAAATGTAGTCTGCAATTGATTGATTTTCTTGTTGAAAGGTTGATAAAAATATATGCTGAGACCCCAGAACATTTCTTTTTGGACATAAATGGGTTTCAAGCTTCACAATAAGTGTTTCGTAATTAAATTCACTTGACTGTTGAGAATAGAATTTAATAGTAATTCGGCTGCAAACTTTTTGTTATTGAATACATTTTTCATTATTAAATAGTTTTCAAAACGTTCCCTGTATATACGAAAATCCTCTTTTTCTTTTCAAACAGAGAGATAAATGCAGTAGAGACTGGACTTACTGATGAAGGTTGTCGAAGCTGCTTGATAAGAGCCTCTTGATTTTCCTGCATTGCGGCTAAAAATTGCTTAAACTGCTCTGAATTCATGGTTCGAATATGTTTCAGGAGTCTGGTGAGTTACGTTAATTTGCTATCTTTTTTTTTATTTGATGGAAGGTTGATTTTATCTATAACTAAGCAGTGATTTACCTACGTCGCCAATCTGTTGTAACTCCTTAGGATAAATTGTGAAAGAGATTGAGAGACCATTAGAATAAAAAAATATATTTGATTGCTTTTTTAACATTGACATTCGATCACTATTATTTTACACGATACACATACGTATATCATGATTATTTTATAACTATATTCGCGCATTGCCGTGCAACATTTAACAATAACAAAGGATACTACAAATTGGCTAATACATTTAAAATTAATCGAAAATTGCATCTAGTTAGCCTTAAAGTTTCGTTTCTATAAAACCAATTTCGCCGGTAAAACGAGGTCATTTGAGTGTTTTAAAGGTTTTAATCGAGCGTTAAGATTCTAGTATAGGTTTTGTTCATCCATAAAGTATTTCTTTACCTATATTTGCTTAAAATAAAACTTATCCGACTAGTCAAAAGCTTTCACCCTGTATCACTGTAAACTTACACATCACACATTTATATTATATAGTTCTCAGAGTTTGAAATTATAGGGATTTTATACTTAATATAATATTTTTACAAGAATTAAAATATGTTCACCATAAATAAGATAGGTAAACTTGTTTTATGATACCTTCCTTGTGCAAATTGTAATATTTATGCTAAAATGTACCTTTAATATACTTTCTTGTTGTGGTACTTTTCATAAGCACTAGACACTAACAATGCACTTTACAAACAGCACATTTCGTTAACTGAGACATGATTTGGTTGTCTTGGATATTTTTGGTAACTTTCACAAACACTAAACGATAATTTATACTTGTTAAATCAGTTTTATATTCGTCGGACACCGAATGTCAAATAAGAGGGGTTATATTTGTGAATGACTGCTAGACAGCTGTCAGATCATATATAGAGAGTGGTAAAACCGTTTGTAGTTCTTTGAGCATATTTTGACGTTACGTCGTTTAGGATTTATATTGGGTAATACAGGGATACCAGCATGATACAGTTAGTTTTATTTTCGAAATCGTAAAAGCTTATTGGCGGCGCAGGTGTGCCATTCGTGAATCGTATTTGTTCGAGAGTGACAATTGGATGAAAGAGGTTTTATGTACGGCGACTCTGCGCGATCGAGGTTTCGTCTTCGTGTTGAACTGAAAAATTCGCGAAGAGATGCTTTTCTAGTTTTTGTGATTTTATGGAATCATCCCATGTCGGGGAGTGTTAGAAAAGTATTTTATTATTATAAGAAGCACTAATGGTGTTAACATGGATTTGAGCCCGTTATTTTGATGATTATAAAGTACCGGCTTTTTAACTCGTGGTCGAGGAGAATTGGATTTGAAGTTCAGCCCATTGGTAGATGTATTAGGAGTCTCATATTGGAGGCCGATTGTATTCAGACCATATATTGAAGGGTACACTGATTTTAAGAAGATTTCTCTGCGTTTTCATTG